GTGGGGATGGGATTAATAGGAATAGTCAATTGGGTACAGGGACAGGGATAGGGAGTGAAGTCTACACCTCTCCCTGACCCTGATTATATATATTAAATATATGTRTATAAATATATATTATTAAATGTATAATATTATTTATATTATATATCAAAATATATTTTGAATATTATTTATATTTTAATTTTTCCTTTATTTTAAATAAATACCTTTTTGAAAAAAATTCAGAGATTCARGTCCGTTGTGGATGAGAATGGCGCTCTGATCCCGATTATATATATTAAATATATAATATTATTTATAATACTATTTATATTATATATAATATAGTATAGATGTAAAAAATAATTAGCTCGGTGTCTGAATGTTTTTGGTCCTTTCATCACAGTAACTCAAAATTGGAACAGTGGATAAGGAAAAAAAATCCTCTTACTGAACTTTAAGATGGAAGGATGCCCAAAGGCCCAAAACCTTTGTTTGATCCACAGTAAAGGAGGTGCCTGATATCAGCTAGTATATTGAAGGCTCAATATTAATTACCAACTGCCCATGTTTGTTTATTAATGCACTCACCAAGCCAAATTGCTTCTGGTCCCTTCATTATAGTGCTTGCATGAATGCACAAGCATCTTGGTTATTGCTTGAAAAGTGGAAWGAGATATCTTGCTGGAATTTGGACGAACCAAATATTTTTCCTTTTTCCTTCAGCCTTCACTTTGTTCTTTCCTCTTGCACCTACGGATGGGATTAAAAAGGGGGTGGAGGCAGAGCAGAGTATCGGTGTTCATGAATGATCTGAACCAAAATATACCATGAAAACTAGTAACCGGTAGCCTTTTCGGGTTTCAGTTAAATGATGGTTTTGGCTGATTGGATGGGCAAACTGCCCGGTTAACCAATAAAATCGGGGACCTGGAGAGCATTCCAATTTTTGCTTCAGCCAAACACTACTCACACCCTACCCACAAGACACCACAGTCGAATATTTGGACTTGTACGAAAAGAGTGCAAAATCAAAGATGTATAATATAAATATAAGGTTTAAAAATACCATATATATATATATAAGGTTTTGCAACGAATATATCGTATTATTTACACTCTTCCCAAATAGAGCCTTAGATTCAGTTTGAAAGGAGTACAAATACATATAAAATACAAGGTTTTGCGCTCTACATATTTCTTCAATAGTACGAGGCCTAGCCGCCCTTCTATTAATTGTCCTCTACATCACTAACCTAAATCTGAAAAGCCTTTTCATTAAAATGTCAAAGCATTACTAAACAAAGGGGATTGTGATGGCATCTCTTCGGTTAAACCAAAAGTTGTGGTTCCAAGGGTGGGGCAGGATCTGCTATAAATAATACATGTACAATAGGCTATATATGACATGCTCACTCCTGATTGGGACAAGCAACCCATTGTATACGTATTCTTTGTTTGTAGTACATATGGAGTCTCCAGGTGAAAAGATCTTGCAATCCAGGTAGGGAGATGGGATCTTTTGAAAGCAAAAGGAGGGTTTTTTTTCATTTTTAGGAGTACTAGCAAATGGCACATGCTTTGCACATAGTAGTTTTAGATGATGATAATGATAATAATATTAGTAATATGTGTCCAAATATTTTTACAGCACTTTTATATTTTAATGTGTACAAAAATAATTCTTATTTATCACACATATTTTTTGTTTAATATGATAAATATGTAATATAGAAATATGTCTAAATGTTTTCTTGCCAAATTTCTGTACTTTTTATAATGTTTTAATATTTCTATCCTTTTAAATTTGCTATGTTTTTAAATATTTATATCTTTATAACATTTGGCCCAAACGGTTGAATTATTGACCTATCACCAAACAAAACAGAAAAAGAAACAAAATCATTTTTGGGTCACTTTTATATTTTGTATTTCATTTCCATTGTCAAGAAAAGCAATTCTTATTTATCACACTTATTTTTCTTTGGTATTAATTAGTATAAAATATTAGATATGTATCCAAACGTTTTCTATAAAATTTTTATGTTTTTTATCATTTTTGTATTTATATTTTTTTAATTTTTATTATTTAATAATGACATCAATTGTTAACACATTTGACCTAAAAGACTGAATTGTTGATTCAATACTAAATAAAAAAGCAATTTCATTTCTGGGTCAATTTTAAATTTTATATTTCATTTTCATCATCAATAAAAATAAGTCTTATTCATCACAGTTTTAAATTTTGTTAGCAAATCCAAGTCATGCAAAGAAACTTGAATAGTAAGTAAAATTCGATTTGCATCAAAAGTAGTGCAACCCTCCAATACCAATTTACATCTATTTTTCCAGATCACTCAAATGATAATGGCACATTTAGTTATAATTACGAGGATTAGGCCCGGTAGAATCAAGGGTATTAATGGAAAACCAATAATCAAAACAGTCACGAATACTCCGGTCCGTCTGAAAATCAACCCTTAGACCCAAGGGTGAAGGTCTAGCCATATATGTTGCACCACTGGACATTGAAGAAATAAATGACCTAAGGTCTCCTCTCGCTGAAACTGAAAGCACACACTACCTGGGGCTGGGTTGTCTTTTAGATGATTCAGATCATAGTTTTCAAAACTGGATCGGATCGGACGGTCAGATTGGAAAATCTAGGATCGGGATTTTTCTCTAAAACCGTTGATTTTGGTCAGTGAACCGCTGAACCGAGTGATTAATCGTTCGAACAATTTGATCATTTTTTTATTTTTTTGAAAATTATTTATTTATTTTTTATTTTCTGTAAGAACGGGCCAAGTATTCAATTCGAATAATCAGACTGTTCGACCCGATAACCGGACCCTTGACCGGTTCAATCACCGGATCGATTTTAAAAACCATGATTCAGATTTAACTGGTACACAGCCCGATAGACATATTTCCAAAGAAATAAATGGGTCTTAGGTGGGATGTTTTTGAGAGACCAAAAGGACTTTCATGTAATTTCACCAAAAGCAAGTTGGAGATATTGAGTGTTGAGGCACTGAATCAGTTAGAAACTTACATGCTGATGTAATTGTAAAAACTAAAAAGTCCATTGGGAGTCGATTTCCTCCGGATCAACTTATCCTGCATTAGAGAAGGGCGAGAGGAATTTTGAAAATGGCATGAGATATTTCTGGTGGAAAATGGCATGTTACCACACCAGAACGCCACTGCATTGAGTGATGGTCAATCAACTGTTGAACTCTCCCCTCTAGAGAAATACCAGCCAGTGCTAAAAAGATGGGCTCCAGCCCAAGATCCATGGGTCTTCTACAATATTAATATCCCACCCATTTCCAACAATCCAGTGGAGTCTCTTAATAATATGTTGTCTTATTTTCAGCATTGATAACCACATCAAAGCTCTCTATGCATAAATTGGGGTATATGGGGGTTGGGGCCAGGCCTAGGGGTGCTCACCGTTTGATTAATCAATTCGTGGCTGAATCAGTAGTATTGGTTTTTAGAAAATTGGTAACCGAAACCGAATCGAAATTAATTGGTTGACTAGTTGACCGGTTTGGTTAACTGTCGGTTCGATACGTTGATTTTTTTATTTTTATACTATATTATAAAAATATATAATAAAAAATTAAAAATATATTATATTTTAAATAATAAATAATATATCATATATTGTAAATATATATTTATATATAATACATATTTACTAATTTATATTATATATATAATATACATAAATATAAATAAAATATATAAAAATATATGTATACCGGTCAGTTTTCCATGTTTTTGCTCACCCCTAGCCAGGCGCCCTCCCATAAGGGTGTAATTGTTTAAGGGGGAACCTGTCATAGAATGAATAGAGTGAATAGAATAGAAGTAGGAATTTTATCATAATCATCATGTAAATAAAGACTAGTCCCAATTTTAATGGCTCCCCGGTGAGCTACATAAGTAAATCCTGTTTGTCCAATTCTGTTCAATGCCATATTTTTGCTGCACTTTTTCCCACCTTGCATTTAAAGGTGAGTTTTATTTGTAAGTTGCAAAACCTGGCTCTTGATATAACACAATGACAGGATAGGATTTGTGTGGCAGAGAAAATAATTTATATTAACACAAATATGAAAATTTCTTTTTTCTGTATTTATTTGTTTCCTACTACCTAAAACGATGAAAAGTCAAATATATATTTGTGGAATTACTCAATTAAGTTTTTGTTGTCAGCAAACATCTGTAAAAGCATTGGCTAAAGCGACGAGATTCCCTCCAAACAAAAATTTTGGATGTACACTCTAAAAGCATGATGAAAATTCGACAGTTTTCATTTTAAATTTTAGAAAAATTCATGGTTTGCTCCCTTTCACAAATTTTTGTTAGTATTTTGAATATACTATCCCCAAGACCCGCCTATGACAAAAGGCATATTAAGTGATCAAGAGCAAACACATAGCCTGAGCAGCAGCAGATTCTGATTTCATATCACCAAATAAGTAAGTGTTTGGTAGTGTTTTCATTTTTTTCAGGAAACATTGTCATGTCAGAACCATATAGTCAGTTTGAGCAATTTTTATTTGGTTGAATTGATTAAAGTAAAATTAATTACATTTCTTCAAAATTAATTATTTTTGGTAAAAACAACTTTTTGACTTTCTTATTCTAAGGGGGTATTTTTATCTCTTAAGCAATTAGGCTCAGGTAGGTTGGAACAAGTATGAATACAAATATGTAGTGTAAAATCTTGTATTTTAATTTACGCATCAAAGCCATCAGTACATAATATAATTCACCTTCTCTCTCAATATCTAAGATGAAAACATTGCTTCAAATTGTCCCTTTCTGCAATTTTTCTATGTATATTGGCCGAGCCAAGCCAAACTGCTGTCATGTCTCTCCCATTGGCTGGTTCTCTTAATTATTTTGATAAGCGTTGGTTCTCGTAATTGGTCCTGCAGCTACCAAATCCTTATCCTACTTAAAGAGAATTACCATTTAACAGATTACTGGGCATGGCCATCACTAACAGATGCTAGTAATCAGGGCGCGCTTACAGAGATTTTTTGTTTAGCGCTGGAGAATCAAATGCTTCCTTAGTTTTTATTTTCTTTCTGGTAGACTGCAGGTTCTTTCTGTGGTCTTGTATAAAGCTTCTTGATGTCGTATAGAACTGCACATCTAACCGTATCTGACTACAGAATTTGCTTGACTCAGCTAGTTGACTTGAAGTCCTTAAAGTCTTTCCATTAAGCTTCCCAATTCCTCATCTTCATCCTTGTTGCTGCTGCGGGTTTGTACCAATTGATCAATTTTCCGATGGCTTCTGCACTTGTTGATGCCGCAACCCTCTTAGTGCTTCTTCTTTTGCTAAACAGGGCAGCCATTAAAGCTTGCGGTAAAGTAGCTTTAGGCTCATCTCTCAGTGCTATTGATGACAGTAGTAAGTCTTCCTGGAGCTCTCCCTCCGGAGAGTTTAAGTTCGGGTTTCGCCGGCTTGACAAGACCGATCTCTTCTTGCTTTCCATCTGGTTCGACAAAATACCAGACAAGACCATGGCTTGGTATGCAAACGGAAACAACCCAGCCCCGAGAGGTTCAACCGTTCAGCTTACAAGTGATGGAGGCTTGGAGCTAAATGATCCTCAGGGCCAAGAAATATGGAAGTCTGAACCCATCGGCGGTGCCGTGGCTTATGGTGAGATGCTGRACACCGGGAACTTCGTGCTTGTCGCCACTGCTAATAAGTCTAATAACATATGGGAGAGTTTCAAGCATCCCAGTGACACCCTCTTGCCGACACAGGTACTGGAAGTGGATGGCGTCGTTTCTTCTCGACTGACGAAGACCAACTACTCAACGGGACGGTTCCAACTCCGACACAAAGATGGAAATCTCGTTCTTAACACCGTTGGGATTCCGGCTACATTTGCCTATGATACTTACTACGAAAGTGGAAACTCTGTCAATGCCAATGACAACGATTCTCTCTCTCAAACGATCTTCACTGAAACGGGGTTCATTTATATTCTTATCAGAAACGGGAGCAGGGTTGGTCTAAACACCCAGGATTTCTTCCCGCGCAAGGATCATTACTACAGAGCAACCCTCGATTTTGATGGGGTTTTCGCGCAATACATTCACCCCAAGAACTCCAGCGGCAATCAGGCCTGGTCCATGGTGTGGCACATTCCTGATGATATTTGTATGGCCAGTAAAGCTACTTTGGGCAGCGGCACCTGTGGGTTTAATAGCATCTGCAACCTAACTGCAGACAAGAGGCCTACTTGTTACTGTCCACCTAAGTATTCCATGGAGGATCCAAATAACATGTTCAGCAGTTGTGTCCCAGATCATACGCAGGTTTGCAACAGAGAGGAACCAGGAAGCTCCAAAGATGTTTATGGGTTTGAGGTATTGCTTAATACAGATTGGCCCTTTTCTGACTATGAACAGTTTTATCCTTTTACTGAAGATCAATGCCGAAATGCTTGCTTGCGAGATTGTCAGTGTGCAGTTGCCGTTATCCGTGATCAGAACTGCTGGAAGAAGAGATTACCACTTTCAAATGGAAAGGTTAACAGCCAGGTCAATATCAATGGAAAGACCTTTATGAAAGTGAGAGTAGACAGTCGTCCTACAGAGAAAGAGCGCCACGAAAAGGTTTTGATAGTCATCGTCTCACTGCTTTTAGGTAGCTCCGTCTTTGTTAACCTCCTTTTGCTAGGTGGGATTTTTCTGTATATTTATATAGCTTGCCGTAACAAGCTGAAAAAGGCTGAAGAGGTTAAACTTAAATCAGAGAGGAGCGTTGTAGGAGGAAGGCTGTGCTCTTTTACTTACAGAGACCTCGAGGAAGCTACAAACGAATTCAAGGAAGAGTTGGGCAGGGGAGCTTTTGCAGTTGTTTACAAAGGGGTCCTCGAATTAGGTGGTAAAAAACTAGTTGCAGTAAAGAAGCTAGACAGAGTGGTTCAGGAGCGCGAGAAGGAGTTCAAAACTGAACTGGGCGTCATCGGCCAGACCCACCACAAGAATCTAGTCCAGTTGCTCGGATTCTGCGATGAAGGGCAGCATCGGCTTCTTGTGTATGAGTTCATGAGCAATGGCACATTGGCGAACTTCCTGTTCGAAGCTCCAACCAGACCTGCGTGGAACCAGCGAACCCAGATTGCCTTTGGCATTGCGAGAGGGCTCCTGTATTTGCATGAGGAGTGCAGCACCCACATCATTCACTGCGATGTGAAGCCTCAGAACATACTTCTGGACGATTGCTTTACTGCGAAGATTTCAGATTTTGGATTGGCAAAGCTTTTGATGACCGATCAGAGTCGAACTCATACAGTCATTCGGGGAACCAAAGGATACGTCGCACCAGAGTGGTTCAGAACCGCGCCAGTCACCTCCAAGGTGGATGTCTACAGTTTTGGGGTGGTGTTGCTGGAAATCATCTGTTGCAGGAAGAACATTCCAGTGGGAATAAACGAGAGCAACGGTGGAGAAATTCTGACAGACTTGGCTTACGATTGCTTTTGTCAAGGAAGGTTGGATGATCTGCTGGAGAATGACATCGAGGCAATGAATGACATGAGTACGCTGGACAGATTCCTAAGGGTGGCAATCTGGTGCATACAAGAAGAACCATCACTGAGGCCGACGATGAGGAAGGTCACACAGATGCTAGAAGGAGTTACTGAAGTTCCAGTGCCTCCATCGCCATCTCCCTTTGGCTCAGTTCTTCGAAGTTGAAGTCGTGCTCTGTTTCTGTGTCCAATTGGCTAAGAAATTGCCTTTTCTGTTCCAGAATCTGGGTTTAATTTATTTCTTTAGCGGTATGTTTTAATTTGTTGTAACAAATTGTTCTTGTTATTCCTTAAGTCTTATTTTCCTTTCAACCCAACAACTCAAGAGATTGACGGGTATCTTTATCTTTACTGTATATATATATAGCAGAAAAGTTCTCTGCTCTCTCTCCATGAAACCAATTTCTGGGCTGTAAGTGCTTCTCTGATCATCCAATTGGTGGATAAACTGTGTCAACCGCTTACTACGAGAGGTGGTCTACCATTTCAACAAAAGAGAGGCTAGGAATTCAATTCTTTTTTTTTTTTTTGCCTTGCTAAGACCAAATGTCATACATTTCGAGCATTGTATCACCTGAAGTGGTGATCAAAAATCAACGGTTCCCCTTGAAAAATGTCATAAATTAGAATGGGGTTCCCCTTGAAAAATAAGATAAACTCAGATCTCGCTGTTTGTCAGCCTTGTAAGGCGTTGCTAAATTGCCCATAATAACTCAAACGAGCAACTCATCTCTGATGCACTGGACCTATCATGAATGCTTTACACCATTGACAAATTTATCACATTACAGGTTTAAGAACTCCCAAATCGCAATGGCAATATACGTGAGGGTATTATATGTCGTAAGCCTCACAAACCAAAACTTTGGGGCTTGTGGCTCCGGCTGTTCCGACGGCAAGGGTTGCAGCGGCGGTGGAGATTCGAATTATGTGTCGGCAACGGCAGTGAGATTCGCAGTGTGTCCGAGAGGGTGGAGTGGTGGGGAGGGAGAGGAAGAGAATAGAGAGAGAAGTTAATTGTATTTAATTAAGGTAAATGGGTTCAACTATGATATGGAAAATATATGATATTATTTATCAAAATTCACGAGTGGATTTTGATTGGTCAAAACTCTTTCTATATCATATCTTTTCTGACTTTTCAACATTTCTCTTAAAGTCATCATATCAGTGAGTTTTTATTTTCCAAAACTCACTTTTGCACCATTAATGCTTATTAACAGAGGTGTCCATGTCAGCATAAATAACAATTTTATAACCAAATTACCCTTGAATGGTGAGTTAGAGGAAAAATGTTTTTTTTTTTTCAGTTTCCAATTTTCTTGTTTTTTTTTTGCATTTTTAGTGTTTTGCTATAATTTTCAAAGTTTTTTTATAATTTTTGCTTTTTTACATTTTTCTATTTTCTACAATCTATAAAATTCCCTGATTTTTTGTTGTTTATTTGCAATTTCTGTGTTTTTCTATAATTTTTGGTGTTTTTTGTACAATTTTTATTTTTCAATTTCTATAGTTTCTATAATTTGAAAATAATTTTTATTTTGCTTGCAATTTCTATATTATTTTATATTTTTTGTAATTTCTATGTTTTTATATATTTTATATTTGTAAATATTTTTTGAACTTTTCCTCTTTTTTGTCTAAATATTAAAATGGTAATATATTAACACATGTTAATCTATTTAACGTCAAGTTAGTGACATGGTGACTTCTAGACATTTTGAAAAGTTGTTAGTTTAAGAGAAATGCTAAAAACTCATGGTGAGTTCTAGACAATTTCCCTTTAATTAAGGTTTTGAGTCCAGATGTCATTAGACCTAGACTCTGTCGGTTTCAAATCAATTGGGAAAGGGTGGCATGTTCAATCCTCATTGAATGATGCAAACTCGAATTCACTAGCGGGGATTCATTGCACGGACTTCTTTTAAGCTAAACTGAAATAAAAGAAACTCGTAAGACTAGATAATTTTTTAAATAATTAATAATTATTTATCTTTTATATATTTCTTTTAATAGTTTTTATAATACGAAAACAATAATTAATTTCATCTAAATTGATAATCTAATATTTAATAATAACAATAGTTTCATCCTCAATAATTATTGAAAAATTGCTTTTAAATAATAAAACAAAATTAGAGTTATACATAATTATTGGAAATATATTTATCACAAAAATACATTAGTAATTTTAATTATTCTTCCATTTTATAATATCTATTAAAAATACTTTCTTGAAAGTTATTACATATTTTCGTTATTTGGAAGCTTCAATACCTCCAAATTATTTAATCTATTTTTCATTATTTTAATAATATTTAAAATTTTTAATTATTTATATTTTATATCCTTACTATAAAATATTATTAAATATATTGTAATTACTTTTGTGTTTCTAATATTTCTAAAGTTATTACATAATGTTGTTATTTAGATTTTTAAAATACTAATTATTTATACTCACATTACATAACTTCATTATTAATTTAGTAAAATATAGAATTATGATCAATTTAAATATTATGAAATCAATTATAATTATTTTTGTATTTTTGAGAAACTTTTAAATGCATTTATTTTAAATATCTAAAATTTAGTTATGTTAAGTCTTTCATTAAATAAAATATTCAGTTATTTAAATATTTAAGTAATACTTAAAAAATTTTGTTGTTGAAATTTTATTAATTTTAAAGTTATTACGAGATATTAAATATTTTGTTATATAATTATTTAAAAATTTTTAATATTTTTTATTCAAAATATTTAGTTATTGAAATATTTAAACAATGTTTGAATTTATATTTTAAAGTCTTTATTATTTAATTAACATTTAACCAATTTTTTATTTAAATTTTTAAAATTGATCCTGCAATGTTAGCAGCCCTCTCCTTGCAGGAACCCCATTCTAATTTTCTGTTTTTGTTATTTTTCTTAATTTTTTTATTCCACGTAATACCAAGAGATATTCCACGTAGTAGCAGACGTTTTAGTGTTTTCCTCCAAATTTCTGTTCAAAGTTGCACAGACGTTTTAGTGTTTTCCTCCAAATTTCTGTTCAAAGTTGCACAGACGTTTGTGTTGGCAAGTAACTAAGAATATTGCATTGACATTTCAGGTTCCTATTTTCTATTTTTTTTTCATCATTTTTTTTTTTTCTCTTCAATATTGGACATGCCATTTGTAAGAAGTTTGGAGTTCATTTTCTGGTTGCACAATCGGTCATTTGCGATGGATTTCTTCCTTGGGTTAATTTGGAGTTCGTTTTACATTTACAGGTTTGTTTTCTTTATTGTTTTTTTTTTTCAGATTCATTTTTGGCTTTTGTTTAATGGTTCTCCTATATTTGCTTCAGGTGTGTTTTTCGGTGAAAAATACAAGGTTCAAGTTAATTCTCTGGTGAAAAATAGAAGGTTTCAATTAGCTCTAGAGTTAAAGTTACAATAACAAAAAAACAGGTATGATTTCCTCAACCATTAACGTTTTGTGGTAAAAATTATATCAAAAATTACAAATAAAATCCAATCCGAAAAATGAAAAAAAAAACCCATAAAAAATGATCCGGGTCATCACAGGACCTGTTTTACCACGCGGGTGGAGAAGATAAAGTAAGCGAGTCATATTCTACCCATTTACGAAAACATGGTGTTGGATCATATGGACCCAAACCGTTAATGGTCATGGATTAGCCGTATTTAAATGTTTAAAATATAGTATTAATCGTATTTTTAATAAATACAGTTGATACTGTATTTTAAAAAGTTACAATATTTTTAATAAATCCAGTATTTTCAAAACTTACAATAATTTTAATAAATCTAGTATTTTCAACCGTATTTTTAAGAAATGCAGTTAATACTATATTTTCAAAAATTACAATATTTTTAATAAATCTAGTATTTTCAAAAACTATAACATTTTTAAAATAACAATTTGTTAATTAATTAACAGTGTTTACTAAAATACTGTATTTCATAATTACATTATTATCAATTAACTAACAATATTATATTTATTAAAAACATTGTTTTATTAATTAATAGTATTTTAACAAATATTGTATTTTTCATAAATATAGTAGATTAATAAGTAGAGTGTTTTCAATAATAAAATATATTATTAATTAACCAAGAGAATATTTAATAATAGTAATAGTAATTAATATAAAGTATTTTTTAATGATTAAAGTAATTTTAATAAATACAACATTTTTAATTATTACAATATTATTAATTGATTAAAAATATTTATTAAAATACTTTTGAAAAACAGAATTAATAATTACAGTATTCTTAATGTTTATAGTACAAATTACAGTATTTTATTTCATTAATAAATACAGACTATTTATAGTATTTTATTTAAACACAGTATTATGATAAATATAGTATTTTTAATAAATACTTAATTTATTAATAGATACAATTTTATGGTTTTTTAAAATTACAATACTTTTAATAAATCCAGTATTTTCTTTTAAAATAACAGTATTATTAATTAATTAACAGTGTTTATGAAAAAGTATCTTATTCAAATACTGTATTAATATACAGTATTTTCATAATTACAGTATTATTCAAATATTGTATTTCTTAAAAACAGTAACAATATTTATTAAAAATACAGTATTTATTAATTAACAGTATTTAAAAAACACAATAGTTATTTATTAAGAGTACTAATTAAAGCATTTCTAATAAACATAGTGCGATGCATGGGATTTGGTAAACTGTAACTATCAGAAGAATACATTTAAAACTAATTATTAATTAAATTCACATTATTTATTTTTACGCTATAATTAAATTATTTTTAAACTGTAATTAAAAGTATTAATAATTACAGTATTTATTAATTATTTTTAATAAATACAGTCTTTTAAAAATATTATTAAATACTACTATGAAAAAAATAAGAAAATACTGAATAATTAAAAGTAAAAAATTATTTTTTAATTCTGAAAGATTGAAGATTAAATAATTAAAAATCAATTATTAATTAATCAAAATTAATTTATAATTCTGAAAATTACTAATTTATAATTATTAATAGTAAATTACTGAATTATGTTGAAAAATCCCAAAGCTTATATAAAAATACGAAAAATTATGAAAAACCTACACATTAATTTAAATACTGAAAATAATAATAAAGTAAAATTAACAGAATTTTTATTAATTACGCTATTTATTTAACAATATTAATTTTGAATGAATAATTAATACTGAAAATTACTAAATAATACTGATAATTAATGAAAAAATACTAATATACAAAAAAGAGTCTGAAAATACTGAATAATATAGAAAAATTACTGAATTATATTGAAAAATTACTGTAATTAACAGTATTAATTAAACGATTTATTAATTAATAGTATTAAATAATGCTGTATCTATTGAAAAACATAGTATTGATTAATTGACAGTATAAATTAGAAGTATTTAAATTGCAATAATTTACATAATTTTCAATAATTAAGAGTATTTTACAAAATACTGTATTTATTAATTACAGTATTTTTTAACAATTACAGTTTTTTATAAAAAATACAGTACTTATTGATTAATAATAAATGGCTTTTAATATGTACAGTTTTTATTACTTATTTTTAATACATACAGTTATTTAAAAATATTATTAAATACTAATATGAAAAAAAATTACTGAAAATACTGAAAATCACTGAATAATTAATATTAAAAAATTAATTTTTAATTTTAAAAGATTGTATAGTAAATTATTAATTAATTAACATTTATTTTTAATTCTGAAAAATAATTAATATTTAGTTATTAATTGTAAATAATATTAATTTTGAATGAATAAAGAAAAGTAACTGAATTACAATGAAAAATACCAAAAATTATTTAAAAATTCGGAAAATTATGAAAAACCTAAAAGTTAATTCAAATACTAAAAATAACAAAAAAAAAGTAAAGTTAACAATATTTATTAAAAAACAGCATTTTATTAATTAACAGTATTTTTAATAATGTTAATTCAAAAATAGTGTGATTAATTAACAGTATTTTCAATAAATACAGTATTTAGTTAAGTCGTTTGAAAGATTTTGGTTTATTTTTGTCATTTACGTGATTGAGGTGTTTCTAATTTGTTGTTGGAATTTTATTTACATAAAAACAAAATAATAACACTAATAATAATAGTAATAACAACAACAACAAAAATAACAATAATTTAAACTGTAATTGACAGTATTTATAATTTAAGTTATAAATTTTAGACAATTACATTTAAATACCAAAAGTTGTCATAAATTAGTTTTACCCAAGTAACTAACCAAAAATAAAGTACCAATACTTCTGAAAATATAAGAGAATTACATTATATAATTACAGTATTTTTAATAATTAACATGTTTTTAATAAATACAGTATTTATTAATTAACAGTATTAATTACAGCATTTAATTGGTTACATAATTTTACAAATACTGTATTTATTAATTAATAGTATTTATAAATTACAGTATTTTTTTAATAATTACAGTTTTTTAAAAGATACAGTATTTATTAATTGTTTTTAATAAATACAGTTTTTTTAATATTATTAAATACTAATATGAAAAACAAATACTGAAAATAATGAAAATTACTGAATATAATTGATATTTAATGAAAAACATACTAATATGCAAAAAAATTCTGAAAATACTGAAAATTACTGAATAATATTGAAAAATTACTGAATTAGCATTCAAATTAATTTATAATTAATAGTAAAAATGAATTTTTAATTCTGAATGATTGAATAATAAATAATTAAAAATTATTTATTGATTAATTAAAATTAATTTTTAGTTCTGTAAAATTATTATTTTTTAATTATTTATAGTAATTATGTTAATTTTTAATGAATAATTAATTCTGAAAATTACTGAGTAATGTTGAAAGCTAATGAAAAAAATACTAATATGCAAAAGAAATTCTGTAAACACTTAAAATTACTGAATAATATTGAAAATTAAAGAAAGTTAATTTAAACTGTAAAAAATGTGAAATACTGAAATTAACAGTATTTTTTATTAATTACGCTAAAAGTTAATTTAAATACTGAAAATAATTATTTTTAACTAAACAGAAGTATTAATAAATATATTATCTTTTATAAATAATTTTTTTATTAATTAACTGTAATTGACAGTAATTAATAAATATGTATTAACAGCAATTGACAGTAATTATATCTTAAGCTTAACATAGCATAAAATTACACTTAATTATCAAAAAAAATACGTTTAACACTAATTATGAATTAAATTCACATTAATTACACTAATTCATTAGTGATGTCTATTTTTTTTTTTGCTACATTATTGTATTTCACATTTTTTATCAAGATGCACGGGTTCCCGCTAGTTAAGAAATATTTGCACACTCAAAACCCCATAATCCTAATACTCCTCACACCGGGTGAAGGTGGGATTTAAAAATTCCTAATTTAGAGTCATCAAATTCAATTAAATGGATTTTAGGACTTCCTTGCATCTTTGATTCTACCCCATCTTGGTCCAAGGAGATTCAACAATACAATTAAGTGGATGAGTCAGATATTAGCCCATTACTTGAGGCTAAAGTTACTATGCCGTTGGTGAATGCATCTTTCAAGTGGATTCTTAGGGAATCAAAGGCCTTAAAATAAGTGGTTTTAATGTTTATTGCGTTTTGGAAGCCAAAAGCACCCCCGAAATGGGCTTAGTGTGTGGAAAAGCAATTAATTAATCGATGGTTTCTGACTTATTGTGTTTTCAAGTAGTGATTCTTTTTATTTTTCATTTCAATATTGCCCACTTAAAATTTTCTTACTACCCAGAACACTCCCATCAACTCCAAAACCCCCACCCCATATTCTACCTCACTTTCCCTTTTCATTTTATTTTCAGTTATTGAACCGCGGTTGATTTGGACAGTCAAACTGTTTGACCCAGAAACCATCCAAGCAACCGGTTCCATTTTACCCTAAATCCAGTCCCTGACCAAAAATCATTAAATCGGTCAACAATYCGTTGATTCAGGCGGTCAAACCGTCAACCCATTGACCTATTCAACGGTTTTGACCTTTTTTTTATTTTTTTAATTTTTATTATCAAAATTGTCATCTGTTCGAATTGTACAGTCAAATCATCGACCGAGAAACCAGTGGCCTAAATGATTCTGTTTTCCAGATCGTTTTTTAAACCATGCTTCTTACCACTTGCATGGCGGCGAGCTACAACTACGTTTAATTTCCAAAAAAATTGATTGAATATTGATTCCCACCGTTCCATCTCATTCATTGTTTCTCAATCAGCAGTTTTTGCAACGGACCAGGTATACTTCATATGTTTTCTCATTTTATTCATATAATAATCATGGTAGCAAAGAAAATGACGTTTAATGGGCATAAAATGGTATTTATACATTTTTTTATGGTTATACAAAATTAATGGAGGATAATATTGTCTTTATATTAGTAAAATCTGTTTTGAACTAAGCAATGTTGTCAAATAAGTATTTTTTAATTAGAAAAAAACACTTTACAAAGCGGATTGTAAATACTATTATAAAAATGCTTTTTGTAAATGCACTTCTAAAACGGCCGGTTTGGAGGCAAAAAGCCCCACCAAACGTAGCCTTGTGGTATTGCCGCAGGTCTTGCTAAAACAGGGATCATTAGAAACAAATTGTATAGCAAGAACCACTCTCTGCCCTAATTTTGATGAGCTCTTTTTTCAAGTTTACATCCCTTCGTGTACAGGATCTTTATACCTTAATATAATTTACTTTTCCTTCAAAAAGTAATCATCAAATTGAGCTATCGATTATGCTACACTACAATCAAATCCAAATCATCCAATTATTGAAATTTTAAATCCAATCCGATGTGTGTTTTATTCCAGATTTCGGATTCAGATTCTATTTTATTGTCATTAAAAATTAATTATTATATATACAATCGGATCGGGTGGGATCAAATCTTCATCCCATCCAATTGGTAAACAGATGAAAGGTTTTAACATCAAAATCCAATTATTTGAGTTGGATGCTGGGGCTGATAGACTAATAATATGTATATATATTAATGATTCAACATGATATTCTCATATAAAGTCTAGAAGTAATTCAACTGTTTGAATCGTTCAACCTAAACAGTCAAACCACTGACCTGGAAATCTGTGGCCAAAATTATGATATTAGATTATTTGGACGCATATAGTCCAATTCCGTTGGAGGATGATGGTTAGAAATTTCTAACGACCATTTTGATCAGAAGAAGCGTGACACAGACTATCCCATCTTTTATTCCTACCCATGTTGTTCATCTCATGTAAATGAATACAGTGAATTACATTTCATCTTTTACCATTTTCAGGAAAATATTTAATTTAGGAACGATGATATGAGATGAGATGAGAAATGGCAATGGGCGGATTCAGGGTGGGGCACCTCTTCCCCGTCACCACCTCATAGCCAAAATCCTCTATCCCGTCTCTAGTGGCAGGATGGGTTGAAGGGAATGATGGGGAATCTCTAATTTCTTTTTTTTTTTTATCTAAAAATATATAAATTTCAAGTGCATTTTAAAAATAGAATTATGAAAATTTAGGAAATATTCAAAGGTATTTTGATATTAAACTTAAAAATATTTTAATATTTTACGATCATGTTTGAAAAATTATTTGCAAACCTCCTACACAAGACGTGGTAACTCTTGCCCAGAAATCAAATTTAACTACAAGCAAAAGAACTCAGGTAAATCTACAAAGGGGAGAGATGTATAATTGAGCTGCAAAAGATGGATCGCTCACGGATGGGATAGGTTCGTTTGAGTTGGCCCCCGACTGCCTACATTTCATTGAAGGAACGGTGACGTCCAATTGGAAGTTTAGACCTAAATTGTGACCAGACTGGGCATTAATGTTAGAAACTAGTACAACTAGTATGAAAAACCGAGCTTTACTCTACGTCTCTTAGGTCTTACCTACGAATTTCGACAAGAAACCAACGATTAATCAACAGGGTTTTTGTCTGTAGGCTTCTTCCTCGAAGTTTTACTCGACTACGGTACAGAAACCGAGAAGCGGTCAGTTGATTTGTCTCTCTCTCCAATCCAACTTCCAAGCTCCTCCCGTTATAAGCTTCCCATTTATTAATCGAGTAGCCTGTAGACTAGCTTGTACCAAATGGCGCTTCCAATGGATTCTGCAATTCTTCATATTGCAACCCTCTTACTGCTGCTGCTTCTTTTACCACATGATACCATAGCTCAAGCCTACAGTAACGTAACTTTGGGCAAATCTCTTACCGCCGGTGATGACAACACTTCTTGGCCTTCTCCTTCCGGAGACTTTGCATTCGGGTTTCGCCGGCTTGACAACACCGACCTCTTCTTGCTTGCTATCTGGTTCGACAAAATACCAGATAAAACCATAGCTTGGTATGCAAACGGAAATACCCCAGCCCCGAGAAGTTCAACCGTTCAGCTTACAAACGATGGCGTGTTGCAGCTAAGCGATCCTCGAGGCCAAGAAATATGGAAGTCTGACCCCATCAATGGCGCGGTGGCTTATGGTGCGATGCTGGACACCGGCAACTTCGTCCTTGTCGGCAGCACTGATAATAATTCTGATTACATATGGGAGACTTTCAAGCATCCCAGTGACACCCTCTTGCCGACACAGGTGCTGGAAGTGAACGGCGTTGTTTCTTCTCGACTAACGGAGACCAACTACTCGACGGGACGGTTCCAATTCCGGCAGCTCCAAGATGGAAATGCCGTGCTCAATACTGTCGGAATTCCAGGGACATTTGCATATGATGCTTACTTCGTCAGTAACACCTTCGAGGCTAACGCAAGTGAATCCGGCTATCGAGTGCTCTTTAATGAAACGGGGCACATTTACATCCTCAGAAGAAATGGGAGCATAAAGGGTCTAAATCTTAACGACTTCCCTCAGCGCAGGAACTATTATTACAGAGCAACGCTCGATTTTGATGGAGTTTTCGCACAGTACATTCACCCCAAGAACTCCAATGGCAGCCAGAACTGGTCCATGGTGTGGCACCTTCCTGGTAATATTTGTCTGGCCAGTCGGAGTAAATTGGGCAGCGGAACCTGTGGATTCAACAACATTTGCAATCTGACTGCAGAAAATAGGCCTACTTGTTACTGCCCACCTCAATATTCCAAAGAAGATCTAAGTAACATATTCAGCAGTTGTGTCCCAGATCATATACAGAGCTGCAACAGAGATGAACCGGGATATTCGGATGATGTTTATGGGTTTGAGGAGTTGGTTAATACAGATTGGCCCCAATCTGACTACGAACAGCTTCAACCTTATACCGAAGGTGAATGTCAAAGCAACTGCTTGGAAGATTGCCAGTGTGCAGCTGCAATTTTCCGAGATGAAACCTGCTGGAAGAAAAGGCTACCGCTTTCAAACGGAATGGCAAACAGCAGTGTAAATGTCAATGGAAAGGCTTTCCTCAAAGTGAGAGTAGACAGTCGTCCAGCAAAGAAAGATGAGAAAAGAAAGATTTTGATCGTCGTTCTGTCACTGCTTTTGGGTGGTTCTGTCTTTGTTAACTTCTTGTTCAGTGGTGGGATTTGCCTGTTTGTTTTCCTAGCTTATCATAAGAAACTGAAAAAGGCGAATAAAGTTAAATATGAAAGAAGTTCTGTAGGAGGAAAGCTCTGCTCTTTTACTTACAAAGATCTGGAAGAAGCTACAAATCAATTCAGGGAAGAGCTGGGCAGGGGAGCTTTTGCAATTGTTTACAAAGGGGTGCTCGAATTAGGTGCTAGGAAATTGGTTGCAGTAAAGAAGTTAGACAGAGTGGTTCAAGAACGAGAGAAGGAGTTCAGAACTGAATTGGGCGTCATCGGCCAGACCCATCACAAGAATCTAGTCCAATTGCTCGGATTCTGCGACGAGGGGCAGCATCGGCTTCTTGTGTATGAGTTCATGAGCAGCACCTTAGCAAGCTTCCTTTTCCAAGCTCCAAAGCCTGTGTGGAACCAGAGAATCCAGATAGCCTTTGGCATTGCAAGAGGGCTTCTGTACTTGCATGAAGAGTGCAGCACCCAGATCATCCATTGTGATGTGAAGCCTCAAAACATACTTCTGGATGATTGCTATACTGCAAAGATTGCAGATTTTGGGTTGGCAAAGCTTTTGATGACTGATCAGAGTAGAACTCAAACAGCCATTAGGGGAACTAAAGGGTATGTGGCACCAGAGTGGTTCAGGAGCATGCCAGTCACCTCGAAGGTGGATGTATATAGTTTTGGGGTCTTGTTGCTAGAGATCATCTGTTGTAGGAAGAACGTTCCAGTGGAAATTCTAGAGGACAACAATGGAGAAATCCTGACAGATTTGGCTTACGATTGCTATTGTCAAGGCAAACTAGATGATCTATTACAGAATGATATGGAGGCAATGAGTGACATAAGTACTTTAGACAGATTGCTAAGGGTGGCAATCTGGTGTATACAAGAAGAGCCATCAGTGAGACCCACCATGAGGAAGGTCACACAGATGCTAGAAGGAGTTGTTGAAGTTCCAGTGCCTCCATCCCCGTCTCCCTTTAACTCATTCCTTCAAAATTAAGGTAGTTCTCTGTTTCTGTGTCCAATGAGTCCTGTATTTTTTTTTTCACAAGTTGGATTTGTTTCTATACCAACTGTATGTTTTGTTTACTGTGGCAATTGAGTTATCAACTTTCTATCAAGTAAGTATAGCTTTTATCATTGTTAGGTTTCTGTTGACCCTTAATTAGGTTACAAGGCTTTTAATAGAAGACATTTATCATTGTTAGATTTCACCAACTATTATTATAATTCAGAAACAAAACACAGAAGGATTCCAGTACAGGGACATACAAGTTTTTCTTCTACAGAAAACAAATTTGTGCTACATATTAATTAGCAAGTATAACTTGACAATGAAGATAGTGAATAAACAAAACTTGGAACGAACTCCCTATCCCAAACTGAGGAAAGCTAGTGGTAAAAATCAAACTAGTGCAATTATTTGATTCTTGACTCCACACATGAAACCCTTGATAAAAAGGACATGAAGACAAAATTGGGCATATCTTCAGGGAAAACAAACAAAAATTAATGTAAATTTGTCGTGTTTGGGAAGGGCACAAATGCACTCTATATTTGTACTCTTCCATAAGGTGCAAAATCTTAAATACAGTATTTCTAAACCTTGTATTTATATATTTATATTTGCACTCTTCTCAAACTAAGGCAATCTGACATTCTCCCTCTCACACGAGTCATTGAGCAAGTGAGCAGGATAAAATCTTGGAAATGACTAAAGATATTTTATTTGAGAGATGCTGACATACAATATCTATGTACCACTTTACATTGACATGGGGTGTTGATGTGTTGGAACCTACCTGGTAAAGATATTTCTGGCAACAATTTTCATTTACTCCAGGTCTCAAGGGGCACTTAATGTCTTGTAAGATTGGTAGTGACATCCAGCTACCGATTCCAATTTGGACCACTAGAATCTTATTCAAGAAAAGAGGGGAAATCATCATCAATGTTGACATTGTCTTAGATTGTGTTTGGTTTGAAGGAGAAAGTAAGAAACGAAAGCCAAAAGTAAGAAAATTTTTTACAAATTTTATATATATTTTTCTTACTTTTCAAACATAGCCTTAATTGCTCGTGAACCGTAAATAAAGTCTACTGCTGAATTGTAGATCGTAATGTAGACTGAGATCCAATCCCACTTTTCCCAAGTTGAGCGGATGATAGAGTTGCCAATGTCCAATCAGTCGGTCAACCCATATGAATTGAGTCAATTAATAATTGCGTATTTTTTAAAAAGGTAAGATAAAATTATTTAAAATTAAAACATATAAATTTATACAAATCCGAATTTGTTTGTCACAAAGCTTGCCTCACACTAATCTCACAATGCTTTCAGTTGTGCATTGGTAATATCTCCCCAATTTGTATCTTATCTTTCATGGGATGATGTTTACAATACATACCCACCTTGTGTTGTGAGGTTGGTGTGAGGTGTATTTTGTGAGGATCAAATTCAAGCCCAATGTATATAAGTGGTCCAAGACTCAAATGCCAACACAAAAGAACAACGCAAAAGATGGGTTGTGCCCAAGCATAAGCAAGCAACTACCAAAAAATCAGGCCACCTTTAACATTAAACCTGAAACCCATTGATCAAGGGTGATTTGGCCTGACCTCATAACAGGGGGACACGTGGATATGACTTGGCTAACAGATGACAGCTCAGCATGACCAGCCCGCAGTATAGCAGTCTCGGGCTAAAGTGACATTGAGATAGGGTCACCCCGAAATAAGATCGCCACGGTACCAGATTGCGACATGAACACTTCGATCCCAAGGCACTTCAACACTCAGTCCAACTCGGGACTTAAAGACGTCAGCTCAGGGATACCAACGTGCCACTAAGGATCCCGAAAATCCCTCTGACGGTTCCCAGACTTCACGGGATCACACCGCGTAACAGCTAGCCTTATCTCCCCCGACCGATTTGGGCGGACTCGATAAGCCCTATCTGTTGGCAGCACTATCTCCCATTATCGTGAAAACGGATCTCATCGTGATAAGGATTCCGGAACTACTCCGCGAAACTCGCGAGGACTCTATTATATAAAGGCTCCACCCCCTAGGGGTGCAAGGTATGCGTGATTTCTTGCTCTCAAGCTCTCTCATTTTCAAGCAATTTTAGCTCGCTACTAGCCTACTAACTTAAGCATCGGAGCGACCTCGCCGGGTTAGCATCCCGGGGTTCTTTGATATCCTTGCAGGTTCAGTCCGTCGTCCGTCTGGAAGCCAAGTCACCTCCAGCTAGGAGCAGCCAGATCGCACTCAATCAATTGGTGTCGTCTGTGGGAAGAGCTACTAGAAGCCTCTTTCCACCAAAAATCTCAAACTCAGAATCAATGGCATCCTCTAGCAATGCCAGACAGAACGGAGAAATGAACGTCTCTGGGGGGCAACCTTAGATCCCGATTGTGTGCATTGGTCAGTTTACCATACCGCTCTCCGCGGGTGGGATCCCTACACTGACTATGCCTCAAGCAACTATGCCTGTGAACGCCCCACTTCCTCCTGTAATGGTGTGACTTTTGCTGAACCAACTTTGGTTCCCCTGGAGTCGGACAGAATCAGCTTGATGACCTAGTACATTGCGTGCGGGATATTCAATCCCAAATGCAATAGGTCCAGCAATTTCAGCATTACCAACAACAGGTTTTGCACCACATCTACCAGCAGCAGTTCCCACCCCTGCAGCAGAATCAACAGCTGGTTCCACCTCGGCATCCGGAAACACAGCAGAACAAGTCTCACCATCAGAACAATTGCCCTCCTCGTCGGGGAGAGACTTCCCAGATCAAAAATCCTCTCAGGAGCCAGGTTTCGTCCCGCGGCAGGAGGGAAAGGCAAGTTACTCCTCCCGCCTCGCAGCAAGTGAACTGGTCGGGAGATACTCAGCCCGCCAGAGCTACTTCAACTCGGCCCTCACAACTTGAAGGTTCGCTTGTAGGGAACCGGTTCGGGGTTCTGGCCGTGGACTCCAAACGAGGCTCCTCTGTCCACAGCAGCCAGCATCAGCAGTCCGAGCCACTCCATGCCAGGACATTGCCCGACAACTTTGAGGTCAGCAACATCAATGCAGAGCCAGTCAAGAAGCAACAAAGGAGGCATCCTAAGGCACGTTAAGCAATAGCTCCAAGCCAGATCATTGGACCCAGTCAGCTCGAGCAGCCTAAAGGTAAAGAGGAGGCGAGCTTGGAAGCCACGAAGATCGCTCCCCTCCTCTCCGTATCATCTCCTTTGTCCTCCGAGCTCTTGGCGACCCCGATGTCGAAGAACTTCAAAGTACCTCCGCTAGATAAGTATGACGAGTCATTCGACCCAAATGATCATGTAGACTCCTTCTAGTCCCAGATGCACCTAGCTGGGGCTGACAAATCTTGCATGTGCGTTGCCTTCTCTACGACCTTCAAAGGAGTAGATCGCACATGGTACAGGAACCTCGCGCCAGGGATGATCAAGAGTTGAGCACAGTTCGTGCAGATGTTCACCTCGCACTTCATCACCAACAAGAAGTGTCTGAGGTCGCAAGAAAGCCTCCTCAGCATAGTCCAGAGGGAAGGAGAGTCGATCCGAAGCTACATCAAACGCTTCAACGATGCCTGTTTGCAGATCCCCGACCTAGACCCCGCTGTAAGATTCACGGCAGCGAATAAGGGTATTACTCACAGGGAATTCAAGTTGCACGTAGTGGCAAACAAGCCCAAAGACATCACCGAATTCCTCAAGCTCGCCGATCAGTTCATCAGGACCGAAGAGGAGATGAACAAGAAGACTGAAGCCCCAACGGAGAAGAGAAAAAGGGAAGATGACAACCCAAACAACGGTGGTAGCAAAAGAAGAAAGAGCAAGTCCCTAACCAGGGAGGAAACAAGTTAGATCAACGTTCCTGAATTCCTCCGGTTGAAAAAACGAGCTACACGCCCCTCAACGCGAAGCGGGGAGAAATCCTCATGGCAATCAAGGATGCCTCTTATGTGAAGTGGCCACCTCAATTGAGGGGAGATCCCGCCACTAGGAACAGAAATGTTTATTGTCGTTTTCATAAAGATCACGGTCATAGCACCGAGAATTGTAGAAATCTCCGCGATGAGATAGAAGAACTCATCCGTCACGGATATTTAAAAACTTTTGTACAAAAAGAAAACAAAAACCAAACAGATCAGTAGGTGGAGAAAATGAGAAATGCTCCTGAGTCCAGCAGCAGACAGAGTGAGCAGTCGCAGAGACAGTTGTTAGAAGAGAGACTGATTCGCGGAGTAATCAATATGATTACTGGCAGGTCCATCGTCGTAGGTTGCACCTCAACAACGGGGAAAGCCTCAGTTCATGAACTAGAACGTGAGGAGCATAATCCACCAAAGCGACCTAGGCTCGAAGATCAAATATTCTTTATGGAGGATGATGCATGCGGGGTTCAGTATCCCCATGACGATGCCCTGGTCATAAAGATGAGGATCAACGACTTCGAGGTAAGCGCGTCCTGGTCGATTCAAGCAGTTTAGCTGACATCTTGTTCAATGACGCATTCGACAAGCTCTAGCTCCAGGACGGCGATCTCAAGCCGACAGGTACACCCTTAGTGGGCTTTAGCGGAGAAGAGGTCAGACTGCTAGGTCGAGTCTCAGTACTCGTAGAGGTCGGCACGTGGCCCAACATTGCAAGATTTGAACATACATTCCTGGTGGTCGCGACTCCCTCCCCGTACAACGACATAGTAGGTTGGCCTATTACCCACGCACTACGCGTAGGGGTTTCCACCTACTACCTGGCCATGAAGTTCCCTACGGATTACGGAGTAGGAGTAGTGCGAGGCAACCAACTTGAGTCTTGCAAGTGCTATGTCGCCGCTCTCAAGGGGAAGGCCAAGCTAGTGGATGATGTCGAGTTCGAGCGACCTGTAGAGTATCCTAAGGAATGAGCTACGCCAACTGAAGAGACGGTCCATATCTCGGCCTCTAAAGAAGATCCAACCAGAACTCTCTAGATCGGCACCTCAATCGAGGAACCACTCCGTTCTCAGCTGGTATATTTTTTACTTAAAAATTTAGACATATTTGCATGGTCCATAGTAGAGATGCCCGGAATAGATCCTAGTATTATAACTCACAAATTGAATACTAATCCTTTAGTCAAGGCAGTTAGACAAAAAAACGCAACCTCGCCCCGAAGCGCTGGAGGATAGTCGACGAGGAGGTCGGAAAAGCTCTTTGCA